GTTCCTAGCAAATAAAAAGGCCCATTGTGGTTCCTAAGAAATTCAAAATAGACCTATTTTAGTCCTTTTAAGGACTAATATAGGTCTTTTTTGAATTTGTAAGGGACCACGATGGACCTTTTTATTTACTAGGGACTAAAACAGTCATCGTGAAATTTGCTGAGGACCAAAAAGGGTATTTACTCTAAATTCAAATGACAAACAATAAAAGATTGAGAGGAAGAAAAAATAACATAGACATTAAAAATTAATATATAGAGGAAGGATCCGCTTACAAACTTTTTTTATAAATTTTTGCAAATTACACTATGTACTTCCGGGAGAACATAATGTAACTGAGTATTTTCACGGGAGAACATAGTGTAATTTGTAAGAGTTTGTAAACAAAAATTTTGTAAATATAACTCTCCCCTAATATATAATATATATATATATATATATATATATGTATATTTATATATAATAGAAATAAAAAAGTGAAAATAAAGATAAATAAGAAAGAGAAAATACATAAAAGAAAAAAAATAAAGAAATGAATAAATAAGAGAAAAAAATTGAGACGAAAAAAGAAGAGAGAGGTAAAGGAAGAAATAGAGAAAATAGAAGGAAAATAAAAATAAAAATGAATCATATAGAACATAGAGAAAAAAATGGGTCTAACCCACCGAATACTAATGAATTTCCTTCAATTTGTTCTAAGACACACCATCCGATTATCTGTATTTCACTTTAATAGGTCTTGCTTTATTATTTTTCCTTAAGTAAGTTTCGACCAATCTCTTTTTTTCTTAATGTCAAGCCGTTGACAATGTTCATCCTTATTACAAGAGCACCAAAGGATTTATCATGTGCACAAATCACTTCAATTTATGTTCTTGCATCTTTTTAATCATCGATATTGATTTGGATAAAATGCAATAGGTCCATAAAGGGTGAAAGCCCAGAATATATAGGCCCAGAAGTATACAGACCCAGAAGAATGCGCAATGTCTCCATCGCGCATAAAAACCTGAAGGCGCGATGGCTTCATTGCGCCTAATCGTCTCATGTTTCTTAAAACCTAAGGAAGGATCCTATAAACTAGAAGGATCTTATAATAAACTAAGAACCACAACGCTATAAACCAATACACGTAAGACAGCTCCAGCTTGCTACGACTCTAAGAAGGCAACCCAATATATAGATGTATAGACAGAAAAGCACCAATTGAGACAGATGAGTCTGCAGCTCACAACGACCAATCAGAAGACATATCGCCTACCAAAGGTGGCATAAGACTTGCTATATAAACAAAGGGTACACACCCAGATATGATAATCTAATTCGGTAAGAACATAACATAAGCCTAACTCTGATACTGACTTAAGCATCGGAATGTCACTGCAGGTATGGGTGTAAATGGGCTAGGTTGGCCTGGCCTAGCCTACAGCCCGACCTACATTGAGCTTGGCCTAGCCCAGCCTACGTTGAAAAAAGTAGAGTAAACTTAGGCTTATAAGAAAGCCTTTTTAACAAATAGGCCGTAGACTAATTTTGTCAAGCCTGGCCTAAAACTTTGTACGCTGGCCTATTTAATTTTTAAAAATAAAATAAAATAATATTTATTTTAGGTGGCAATTAGTACCAACCCTTGTCTTGATGGTGGTTTAAAGATATTTCAATGAATGATATTCTCTTGTAGACTTTATTTCAGCTTTGGTTGACCTAGTAATTGTATTTTTTTATTTTTCCCATTTCTTTGACTCTATTCCTCTCTGATATACATTATAGAGCTGGGGTATTATGTTGACTCTTTCTTATTTGTCATTTTTTATTTCTTATGAGAAGTACTAGTGCTTGCATAAATGAAACTTTGCTCAGTATACTTTTTTAGTTATTTTTTTTACTATTGTAAAATTTTTAATGCTTACTAGTGAAATTTATATCTCGTGTAAAAAAATGCAGTAATTTATGAACACGTTAATGACTTGTAATGTCAAGTGAATATTTTAAAAATTGTTAAAAATATTTTTAAAAATATATCACGAGAGAGGCCTACAAGGCCTGTAGGCCATATCAGACTCTCTAATTTTTAAAAATAGGCCAAGCTTGGCCTACAAATAAAGCCTTTAGTAAGCCAGTAGGCCAGATAGGCTGAATACTTCTTTACGTAGGCTTAGGCCAAGAAGGCCAAAGCCCAGCCCATTTACACTCCTAATTGCATGTACCCCCAGCCAGTGCCATCACGCCAAAGGAGCTCAACCTTCAATTAATCTCAAAAGCATACATCATCAGCCCACAAAGCATAGTACCAAACTCAAAGCATTCACTCTTCAACCGTGTGTGATTGGCCCAGTCCATATTTGCCCACCCATATTGTACTGGACCGATCAAATATGATTCTAATCTTTTGTTGAATATCTTTATTTCTTATTTATTGAGAGAAGAAAATTAGTGGTGTATATGACTATTTCTATAATACTCACGTTGTATATAAGGAAATGTTATATATATTTACAATTTTTTTCGCTTACAAACTTTTACAATCAAATCTTAACCGTTGATTTTCGTTAATCAGACGATTATAATTTATTGGGTCACACTTATTAATTGATTATTAATTTTTAATAAATTATAACCGTCAGGTTGACTGAAATCAACGGTTAATATTTGGTTGTAGGAATTTGTAAACAACAAAAAGTTGTAAATATAACATTTCCCTTGTATATATGATTTTTATTTTTTTGGTATTATATATATATATATATATATATATATATATATATATATATGTATGTATATGGAAAAATGTGTATCATTATAAAGGATGTAAAATTATGTCATTTTAAGAGAGAGAAAGAGATAGATAAAGGAGGAGAGAGAGTTGACAAAAAAAGTAAAAGTGTGGATCCCACCTCTTTATGAGAGTGAAATGACATAAGTTACGTCATTTAAAAGGATAAATATTTTTTTCATATATATATATATGTGAATTTTTTTTTACATCACTTGAATATTTTGTTTTTAATTTTATATTGTCGTTATATAGATAGGTTTAGGGAAAATGGAGGAGATAATAAATATGTAAAGTTGTTATGGATCATTAGTGAAATATTACATACAACTGCCAATATATTTGTGCAAAGTAAGACAAGACTAAATATGAAGTTTTCAGCCATGGAATAATTTTTTTATATTATTTTTCTCAGAGAAATCTCTCACGTGCAAAAAAAAGTGTAATATGAGTTTTTTTCCCTCTTCTCTATTTAATGAGATCCACGTTATATTTTGTGTGTCCATGCAATGATTTCTCTCTCATATAACATGAGAAAGATATATATATATATATATATATATATATATATATATATATATATATATATATATATAGGCAGGATTTTTTGACACCGGTGTCAAATTTGAAGTTTGACACCTCAGTTGAGAGTCGTTAGATCAAAAAAGATCAATGGTGTCACATACTTACAAATCAGAGTCGTTGATCTTTTTTGATCTAACGGCTCTCAGATGAGGTGTCAAACTTTAAATTTGACACCGGTGTCAAAGGATCCTGCCTCTATATATATATATATATATATATATATATATATATATATATATATATGTGGAAGAGTTATATTTACAAATTTTTTGTTTACAAACTACGTTAAGTATGACCGGGTCATACTTCAATCAAGAGTGTATGATCGGTCATACTTAGTGTAACTTGTAAAACAAATTTGTAACTGAATCCTTCTATTCCCCACATATATATATATATATATATATATATATATATATATATAGGTAAAATTATTTCTGCAGCCGCTTTACGTACAACAACGACAGGTGTATGGTTATGATTCCCTACATCTAATGCTTTAATCTTTTGTATAGTTTTGGTTCCCCGCATTTAATGTTTTCATATATATATATATATGAGGAGGGTTATATTTACAAACTCTTACAAATTACACTATGTTCTTCCGGGAGAACACTAAGTTACATTATGTTCTCCCGGGAGTACACAATGTAATTTGCAAAAATTTATAAAAAAAAATTATAAACGGATCATTACCATATATATATGTGTGTGTGTGTGTGTGAAAACCATTTTTGCAGTCACTTTATAAGGTCGTCTACAACTACCTTTTTTTACTAAGTACGACCGGTCGTACATTAAAATTGCATTTTCTCTCTCCGTCACGTCAGCCGACAATATCTTAGGAAAAAGAAAAAAATAACAGTTTTATTGTTATAACTAAGTACGACCGATCGTACTTAGTAAAAAAAGGTAGTTGTAGACAACCTTATCTAAGGTGGCTGTAGAAATATTTTTTCATATATATATATAGGGTTTTACTTCTCTCATGTTGTATGAGAGAAGTTATCTCATGTTGTGAGATAAATTAAGTGGGGCCCACTAATTTAAAAAAAAAAAAAGTGAGGCAGTCTTTTTATGTGAGTGTAAAATGAGAGAAGAGTCTTATGTAACATAAGAATATAATTTCCCATATATATATTATTCTTCATTTGAATAAGTTTCGTTCAGCTACGTTGCCAATTTGCCTTGGAATGCTTGGGACAAAATGACAGTCAGACAAAGTCGGAGTACAGTTTGAAGTGATCAGACAAGAAGATTCAACGTTAATGCACTTTAGATGTCATGCTGTACAAAGCCACACAAATTAGGCCAATCCCACGTTTTATTTGACTATACAACACTTGGGTACTGAAAGAGACCCATAAATAATATTTACGCAAGTCGACGAAGACAACGACAACTTAGAAAAATAGCAATGATGCGCCAAGTTATATTAATATAATCTAGTGTTTGGTTTGGACTGTTATGTATCCCGTACGTGCTTATATATTAAAGCACCAATTGCTCGTGTGAGATTTCAAGTTTCAACTTTCCACTTTCAAGTTGGTATATAAACAGGAGAGAGCCTGCAGTTAAGCGTTCAAATATCCAAAACAAAAGATATAGTTTGGCTTTTGAAACTGAAGGAGTAATCAGCAAAATGGGGAGAGCTCCGTGCTGTGCGAAAATGGGGTTGAAGAAAGGGCCATGGAGTTTAGAAGAAGATCAGATTCTCATCAATTACATCAACACATATGGCCATGCCAATTGGCGTGCTCTTCCTAAACATGCTGGTATATAACTTTAAAGAGTATAATTAACACAATTCTAATTCAATGGGCTGCACTAATTTGAAGAAAATAACATAGGAATTCAATTATGCAGCATCATATATAATTCTTTAATTAAACACAAGTTTTCTCATTTTTCTTCTTCTTCTTTGATAAACAGGGCTGTTAAGGTGTGGAAAGAGTTGCAGACTTCGGTGGACAAATTATCTGAGGCCGGACATCAAACGGGGCAACTTTACCAAAGAAGAAGAGGACTCAATAATCAATTTTCATGAAATGTTGGGAAACAGGTAAACTAACACATTTTTGCTCCTTCTTCATTTCACATTATTTCTAGTAATGTTAATTTAATCAAAGTTAACTTCAACTTGAAGAAAACCCTTTTATCGAAAAACGAAAAATAATAATAAAGGTTAAAAAGTTAAGCTCCACAAGCAAATCTGTGCACGTTTACTCTCAAATAGTGAAGTTAGGTTCCGGGAGTATCTTGATTTCTATATATTGGGTCAAGTTGAGAATGAAACTGATGGAGGAGATGCATGTGAGTTCGTAATTTTAAACTCTAGGAAGTACACAAATCCATAATAATTCAGAACTCTCTAGTATTTTATTACTTTTTCTTAAACTATAAAATTTATATTAAATATTATTAATTAAAGAATAAAAGTTACAAATTAAGTAATAAAAATTAAAAATTTATAATTATAACAAATCTCAAAATTCTTTCTCACTGCCTCTCTTTCTGATAATTAATGGTTTGGGTCATGAGCACTTTGAAATTTTTTCTTGCATTTTAAGGGAAGCAAAATCATAACCAGATGGATATGTCGGTCCCCAAAGATTCGTTCTTTTGCTCCAACATTTTCACGTGCTATATATATATATATATATATATATATATATATATATATATATATATATATATAATTTATATTAAACACATCAATCATCCCATAACATTATTTAGTGTTGTGACTTAGGGGGAGCCAGGTCACAACACTAATTAATTAATGAAGATTCCAAAATCTTGTGCATTATTAATCTTTTAATAATCGTGCAGATGGTCAGCTATTGCAGCCAGGTTACCAGGACGAACAGATAACGAGATTAAAAATGTGTGGCATACCCACTTGAAGAAGAGGCTGCCACAAAACCAACAGTGCAATGTTTCAAAACAAGATAAAGAAGAAATAATGAAGTTGGATTTGGACGCCACCAAATCCAACCAAGACGCCAAACAAGAACAAGACCCGGTGAATTCTCCTCAATGTTCTAGTGACGTGTCCTCATTCACCACTAGTGACAACAACGAGAATAATTGTAGCATTACTACCAGTAATACTACTAATGATCATGACATGTCTATTGATATTAATAATGTTGATTCGCCGGAGAATGATCTTGCATTGGATGATGATTTCTGGTCGGAAGTGTTGTCAAGTGATAATTCCGATGACACAAGCGGTTTTCCGGCCATTGGTGATGACTATCAGATTCAAATTCCATTCTCTCCAACAGTGACCGAAGAAGGGGTCCTTAGTGCTAGTTCGTTAAGTATGTGCGATAACATGGACTTTTGGTACGATGTTTACACAAGAGCTGAGGAATTAACAGGGTTACTGGAATTGTAATGTACTGATGTCAGTTATGGTTATTAGTGTCAAATTATACACTCTCCATTCATTCAATGGAAAACAAAAATCATGTATTTTTTCTATTGTTAGGACTTTAATTAATTGGATGAGTCATCCCCGTTGCAAAGGTGAGAAATTAGACAAACTGTGTGCATTGATGATTGTAATTGGTGAGTTGATGACAATTAAGGGAATAATCAATGGAAAATCTTGAAAAGTACGAGTGAAATTACACACGTAAAGTATCACAATTTTTTTTTCTTTTTAGAGTAAATACTCTTTTTTGTCCTTATCAAATTTCACGATGTCCGCTTTAGTTCCTAGCAAATAAAAAGGCTATTTGTGGTCCTTAAGAAATTCAAAATGGACTCATTCAGTTGAAATCGTGGTCCTTCACAAATTTAAAAAAGACTCACATAATGAGTCCCTTTGAATTTCTTAGGGACCACGAATAACTTTTTTATTTGCTATGAACTAAAACGGACATCGTACAATTAGCTGAGGACCGAAAAAAATTATTTACTCTTCTTTTTATTACTTTTGCAGCTACAAAATAATTTTTTCCCCTTTACTTTATACTTATCTCTTTTTTAATTATTTAAACATAATTCATAATACTTTTCACCAAAAATCATTTAAAAAAAATATGGTTGTGATTAGCCAATAGCATTCCTCCCAATGAAAAACTCTGCTTTTGTTTTTTTTAGATCTGATTGTGAAATTCGATCGCACATCAAATCAAATTAAGCTTAATAAAATCAGCGATTGCGCAAGGAATGCATGGCACTCGTGCTAGCTATTAATTAATGCGATTTTTTTTTTCTTTCTTTCATGTTTCTTCTTTTTCTTTATTACAACATCAAGTATAACTACTTTAAGCCGTGCCATGAGTTCAAGGTAAATTTTATGTATATAATATAAGAAAAGTGTGTGTCATTTTAAAAGATGTAAAATTATATCATTTTAAATTGTGTCATTTCAAAGGACAAATATTTTTCTCATATAATATATGATATAATATTTTACCCATTTTTTTTCATGCCTATTTTATCCACTCGTCCTAAACACAATTAGATTAGTATCTATAACAAGTCAATCTTCAAAAATTTCATCGCAATAAAATCAAAAATATTTATACCAAACTTATAAAAATAAAAAAGGACAGGAGAAGTAAAAAAATGCAAGGTCGTTTATCTGTTTGGCTAGTCAAACATGGACTAGTTCATAGATCTTTAATATCCTATCCTATGCAGTATATATAAAAAATTACCTTGTCTTTGCTGGTATCTATGACCGCGATTTTAGGCATATAATATACAAAAAAATAAGTTTGTTTAAGTGGTGGCATGCATGTGATGAAGACGTTAGACATAATAAAAAAATTACCTAAGCTGTGACCCATAATTACAACTTTAAGTATATAATATGAAAAAGAAAATTGTTTCCAGTTGTGTGTGAGAAAATAACTGCGTATAATTTTTTTTTAATACTACAATAAAGCTGCGATTTGCGATTCCGTTACTACCGTATCGCGCCTTTGTGGAATCCAAGAATTTTATGCAGTTTACTCCTTTTTAAAAATTTAAATTTTTAAGTTATGTTTCAAAAAAAATAAATTAAATTAAATTTAAAGTCGTATAAAATTGTTAAAAAAATTAAATAAATCAAGTTGCGCCGGTTGAGTCAAAAAGCTTAAAATATATCATAGGATTCCAAAGATATAATACTAGTTAAATCATATATAAGGAAAAGAGTTACTTCAGTAGAAACAAAATTACAAAGAGGAACCACAGATAAGATAGGAGAGAAAAAATAGAGGTAGGATCAATTCTTTTTTATGTGTGTTAGAAATTTATTTTTCTTATACAACATAAGAGAAATATAATTCTCTCTCTATATATATATAAAGTTATTTTCTCATGTAATAGGAGATATTTTTTGTATGTCATGAGACATCGAAATCTGTGATATCTTTTTTTTTTTAACAAATGGTAGGTCATACCACTTGTTGTATCTTTGTCATAAGAGATGTTACCTCATGTGACATGAAAAAAAGATAAGCTTATATATATATATATATGGGAGTGGATCCTCTCATGTGGAAAAGTGGTCATGTGGTCATGTTATTTGATCACAATCACTCATTTAAAAATTATATACTTTTCTCTCTCTTATCTCATCATCAATGAATGTTTGTGATCAAATAACATGACCACATGACCGCTTTTCCACATGAGATGATCTACTCTCTATATATATAGGGTTGTCATTTCTGCTGCTGTTGTATGTACAACAATTAAATTTGAAAAAACATAATCATACAAAGGTGAGTGAAAGAATTAAATGTGGTAGTGAAAGCATTAAATGTGGTGGGTGAAAACATTAAATGTGAAGAATCAATGGTCAAGATTAATTGTTGTACATATAGCAGCTGCAGAAATGATTTTAAAACACACATATATATATATATAGGAAAAATATTTCTGCAGTTAATGCAGATAAGTTATCTGCATTTATTCCCAAAACGACGTCGTTTTGGGATTGAAATATTAAAAAATTATAAATATAAAGACTATTATAACCCTGAAATAAATTAAAATTACAAAATACCATGATTTCTGTCCCAAAACGACGTCGTATTGGGCTTACTGCAGAAAAAACGAACCCTATATATATAGGTTCATTTTTTCTGCAATCAATAATAGATAATATTTACGTTGAGCCCACGACATCGATTTGGGGCAAAATTCAAGGAACTTTTGTAATTATAATTTATTTCAGGGTTATAATAGTCTTTCTCATTAAATTTTTTTAATCTTTCAAACCAAAACGACGTCGTTTTCGAACTGAATGAAAATAACTTGTCTACATTGACTGTAGAAACATTAAAACCTATATACATAAGGGAAAAAGTTATGTCCTTTTAGCAGTTATGACTATATACTACAGATAGTACTTAGTTATGATATTAAAGTTATACTTTTTCTCTCTCTCTCTTCGGAAGCTATTTGTTGATGTCGAAAGCAAAAAAAGTACAATTTTAATATCATATTATGTACTACGTATAATACATAGTTATAACTGCTAAAATGACACACACTAAACCATGTATATGGGATAAGTTATTCTACCTATATTTCTTTCATGTCTATCTACGACCTTATCTACCACTCTTCAACATCTTTATATCAGAATCTCAAGAGGAGAAAGAAAAGATAAAGTTAGGTGAGATTCTAATCTAACGGTGAAGAATAATAGGTAAAATAGACATGAAAAAAGTTGGTAGAATTTCATATCCTATATATATATATATATATATATATATATATATATATATATATATATGAGGTAGGACGCTTTGATACCAGTGTCAAAATTGAAATTTGACACTTCATGTGAGAGTCGTTAGATAAAAAATGATCTAACGACTCTCAAATGAGGCGTCAAACTTCAAATTTGACACCTCATCTGAGAGCCGTTAGATCATAAAAAATCAAATGGTGTCAGTATATATATATATATATATATATATATATATATATATATATATATATATATATACATATATATAACATAGTGCATTAAAGCACGAGCAGTGAAATCATATATTGTTGTATAATTAGAGTTTTGAAATTCAAGATATTGAGGTTAATAAAATATCCATGTATTAAGAAATATTTATTTATTAAAAAAATTCTGAAAATATTTATTTAGATAAATAAATAATTGATAAATTAAAAAAATCAAATATATTTGTTTTAAAAATATATTAAATAATAAGTATTTATATATTTTAAAAATATTAAATTTAATTTCATATCATATTTTTGTTTATCTTAGTAATATAGAGATTTATAATTAAATAATATTTCTGGTGATTTTAATTAAGCATAAAACTTATAGAAGTTATATTATCAAACAATTCATACATGGTTTGAATTTTAAAATAGTTTTTAAGCTGAAAGCATTATATAATCACTACCTAACTTTGAGTTTTTTTTCTAAACTCTTATTTTTAATTTTAACTTGAATGTAACTTTTAAATATAAAAAAACTATGCATTTACCAAAACAAAAAAAATCTTTGCAAAATGAAAAGACACATTAACTTAATGGTTTTAGTGTTTGTCATTTTAAATGACATAAGTTATGTCATTTTAGGAGAGAGATAGACACAAAAAAACGGAAATCATGGGAGAGAGAAAGTGAGTGGTTTTTTTTAATTTAAAATTCAAATTGTCTGTGTCTGTATCTCTCTTAAAATGACATAATTTTCTGTCATTTAGAATGACAAACAATTTTCCCTAACTTAATATTTGATATATTGAAATAAGATGTGATTGCGGATCCATTGTCAAATTTATTAATGAAAATTATTTTCAGGATTACGGATGTACTAATTATTTGGCATACTTTTTTATTAAATATGGATAAAAGTAACACATTTATACTATTCTTTCTTTTATTTTTATGTTTATTTTTTTAGGAAAGTTATACTTACAACTTTTTTTTTATAACCTCTTACAATTATATTTTAACACTGTTAATTTCTATCAATCATCGGTTATCATTTATTGTGAATTAATAATTAATTAATGAGTTTAATTTGCGAAAATCATAACCGTTGATTGACGGAAATCAACGGTGTTAAGATATGGTTATAAAAGATTGTAAAAAAAAGTTGTAAGTATAACCATCCTCTATTTTTTTTTTATTATTATTTTTTATGTTTTTGGTAAGGAAATACCTATTTGTATTATACCAAAAATACACTCGTGCTCTGGGCTCTCGATGGCCCTATATTGCTAAGAATAACATCATATGTTATTATAAAATTTTCATCATCAATTCGCTTATTTATTTTATACAGATTCCTTACAAGAAGGCTAAGTTTATTGAGGCAATGTTATTACTGTTATTGTGCATTAAACATTTTTTTAATGCCAACATTATACTTTATTCTTTTATTTCAAGCTTACGGACAAGTGCCGCATCAAAATCACGTTAAATTGCAAGAAGGCATTATTTTCAATGAGTTGACGATGGCTTGTCACGTTTATGTTCAATGGACATGTTGCGTCGGTTATCTGTCATCTTCAATCAACCATTTATCGACGATATACTTAGAATTTACTTTTGTTTACAATCTCTTATAATGATATATTAATCATTGATTTTTGTTAATCAATAGTTATCATTTATTACAAATTAATAATTAATTAATAAATTTAATTTATGAAAATAATAACAATTGATTGACGAAAATCAACGGTTAAGTATAATTGTAAGAGGTTGTAAACGAAAATATGTTATAAATATAATCTTCTTCCAATTTATTTATAATTAACAACATTTTAATTAAAAATAATATATGCATAAATACGTGAGTAATATTATTTCAAAACTTGTGGCCAGAAAGTAAAACAAAATATGGGCTTATGTCATTAATGTGGGCTTCTGGGAAAAGCCCAAAATGTTTCTGAGGTAAGTGTCTCAGTCAGTGGGCTTTAATTTGTCATTTATGTCATTATTTCAAAACAGAGAGAAACGCAGTCGTTTAGCGAGAAGAATAGAAGCATCCCCGCCACCGCCATTATCGTATCTTGCAATTTGCAAAGTATCAAAATCAGAATCACTGCCCCTCCGTCCTTCTTCTCTTCTCTTTGTTCGTTTCGTCTTTGATCTTCAGCTTAACTCTACGTTTCTTCACAACATGGCCACCGCTTCAGGTGTTCCTTTTTTTCTTCGTTAAATTTGGATAATTCTTTTTAGCGATTCTCGTTGTCTAGGGTTTCTGCTATCAATCCCGCTTTATTATTTTTGGAGCACCTGTCATTTTTTTTTCCTGCACAATTTGTTTCTCAAAGCTAATACTCAATTACTCATCATGTATTGTTATTAGTTAATACGAGATTGTAATCCTGGAAGGGTTGGAGAACATGAAGATTCTAAAATTTTATTTATTTATTTTTCGATTAGATTTATGCCAATTCGTTTAAGCTGTTTGCATCATTGTTTAATGGGTTGCTTGTTGCTTGTCTCTTTTTTTAATTGTAATTTTAAAGTGATTATGTACCTCCATGTTTCCCTTATACCTTGATTAGTCGTTGCCCCTGTATGTTTATTTTCTTAAAACTTTTATGATGTGGATTACAGTGGCATTTAAGTCGAGGGAGGATCATCGTAAACAGATTGAGTTGGAGGAAGCACGTAAAGCAGGGCTTGCGCCAGCTGAGCTTGATGAAGATGGAAAGGAAATCAATCCCCACATTCCCCAATATATGTCATCTGCACCTTGGTATCTTAATGCTGAGAGACCTGTAAGTCTTCCCCTCCACTCCCCACAAAATAAAATTTTGATGTTTTGACTTATAAAAACCAACATGTTTCTTCTGCTTCTTTTTTTCTTTGTAGAGTTTGAAACATCAAAGGAAATGGAAATCTGATCCCAATTACACCAAATCATGGTACGATAGAGGTGCTAAAATCTTTCAGGCAGAGAAGTATCGGAAAGGTGCATGTGAGAAGTAAGTGTTCTCTCTCCCTATTCCTCTAGTGTGTACATGTTCTATCTGCAGTTCTTATGAATGCTCCTTTTCTATCAACTTAAATAAATTTTAATATTTGGTTTCATAATTCTCAAGTCGTCCTTTAATTGTTATTTTTTCCATGCGTTGGTGTCTCGTCCCCGTGGTTGTCAAACACTTGAGTTAACTCTTATGAGTTTATGGTTTTATTTAGGACCCAAATGTGTTAAATTGCATGTAAACTCTATGTCAACCTAGGTATGAGTTTAAGTAAACTCTCCAGGAACCGGTTAACTCAATTCTACTAGTGAGTTTATGAGCCCGAATTTATACATGGTTTTGGCCTCAAGACGCACCTCTTGAGTGATTTTGTTGGGTACTTGAGTTGAATTGCATTTGCTGTGCAATATCTTTTAGGTTTATGAAGTTAAATTTGTATTTTAATTATTATTTTTGTTCTGTTTTGTTAAATTACAAAATAATGTAAGAGCGGGACTAAGTATAGCATAGCAGTTGGGTCAAGTATTTAGTTATGCTTTTTATTTTAATACTTTCTTTTGCCTTGTTAGCATTGAGATGAGAAAATTACTTATGAATATTTTATTTAATTATATTTGGTTACTAAGATATGTTTTTTTACGATTCGAGTTTGCTGTGGTTCCATGAGTTTACCTAAACTTTCATGTTTGACAACCTTGCTTGTCTCCTCATATATTTATATTGCCATTTTCTCTTACAAGATTAAGTAAGTACTTTAATATTCATTTTCTTGTTATAGCTGTGGAGCTATGACGCATGATGCTAGGTCATGCATGGAAAGACCTCGGAAAATGGGAGCAAAGTGGACAAACAAGTACATTGCCCCTGATGAGAAGATAGAAGCCTTTGAGCTTGACTATGATGGCAAACGGGACAGATGGAATGGGTATGATGCATCAACTTATGCTCGTGTCATTGAGAGGTATGAAGCTAGAGATGAAGCTCGAAAGAAGTACTTGAAGGAACAACAGCTGAAGAAATTGGAAAAGAGCAACCAAAATGGTGAGGATGCCTCGAGTGATGAGGATGAAAATGAAGATGATCTTAGGGTAGATGAGGCAAAGGTTGATGAGAGCAAACAAATGGACTTTGCAAAGGTTGAGAAGCGTGTGCGTACAACAGGTGGTGGGAGTACTGGAACTGTGAGGTAGTTTTTATGTTGCCTTCATTTTAATAATGCTAGGCTAAGTTAATTGGTCCAATATTTAATATTATCACTTTCATTATTTATCTTAGAGGATTTATGGCTGAAATATCTTTTCCTTCAGGAACCTACGTATTCGAGAGGATACTGCAAAATATCTTCTTAATCTTGATGTCGACTCTTCCCACTATGATCCCAAGACCAGGTCCATGCGTGAAGATCCTCTTCCAGATGCAGATCCAAATGAAAAGTTTTATTTGGTAAGTTGCCTCAGATAAAAATTTATAGGGCAGTCTATGATTTGTTTTACTGTTATATTTATGTTAATGTTGTTTTTGAATTAAATCTGTTTTTGTTATGTAGGGTGATAACCAATATAGAAATAGTGGTCAAGCTTTGGAGTTCAAGGAATTAAACATCCATGCATGGGAAGCATTTGACAAGGGGCAAGATGTTCACATGCAAGCAGCTCCATCCCAAGCTGAATTGCTATATAAGAATTTCAAGGTTATGAAGGAGAAATTGAAGTCTCAAACGAAGGAAACCATTGTGGAGAAGTATGGCAGTGCTGCCGATGAGGACAAACTTCCGAGAGAACTTCTGCTGGGTCAGAGTGAGAGGCAAGTTGAGTATGATCGAGCTGGTAGAATTATTAAGGGACAGGTAAAATATGCATTTTTTTTAAGCCCAGCATTTGCAATTTGCGTATAAATCTTACATGAAGTGCTTCTTGGTAATGTAGCTGGATATTTTTTTTACTTGTTCTGTTAACACTTCAGGGTTTCATTATTAATTTTTGTTTGAACTTTAAGGATTGTGCTTTATGGCTATTGCTCTTTGTTAAGATGATAGATTTAGTTGTTATCTATCTGATGCTTCAATCAGGAAGCAGCACTTCCCAGGAGCAAGTATGAAGAAGATGTTTACATTAACAACCACACTACTGTTTGGGGCTCATGGTGGAAGGATCATCAATGGGGCTATAAGTGCTGCAAGCAGACAATACGCAATAGCTATTGCACTGGCGCTGCTGGCATTGAGGCTGCTGAGGCTGCAAGTGATCTTATGAAAGCTAATATTGCTCGGAAGGAGGCTGTCGTAGGTTCGTACACAGACATACAGCACACCTCTGCTGTGCCTTTACCTCCCTCCCTTTCCTTTTTTTGTTATTACTTTCTTTTTCCATGGCTGATGATTTTGTTTCATTGTATGTAGTATCTCTTTATTAATCTTAAATCTTTTTATGAATCTATACAGAGGATCCTACACCGGTGGAGGAGAAAAGGCTCGCAACATGGGGAACAGATGTCCCGGATGACCTAGTTCTAGATGAAAAATTGCTTGCTGACGCACTCAAAAAGGTATAATATATAAATATATCATTTATCTTATGTGTGTGTATGTATGTATATATATGTGTGTGTGGCAGGATAGTCCGACACCAGTGTAAGAATAAGTGTTACACCAAATTTTGGTCATTAATTTACTTGCATCTAAGGTATAATATATAAATATATCATTTATCTTATGTGTGCGTATGTATGTATATATATGTGTGTGTGTGGCAGGATATTCTTACACCGGTTTAAGAATAAGTGTTAAACCAAATTTTGGTCATTAATTTACTTGCATCTAACGGTTTAAATATGTAATAAATCAGAACCGTTAGATATAAATAGGATCAATATTGAGTGTAACTTCTAAAAAAAAAAAAACAAAAAAAAACCCCTCTCTGTAAAACCCGACTAGCGAGTGTGGGGTGGAGGCAATCCTTGTACGCAGCTTTACCCTTGCATAATTACAAAGAGGTTGTTTCCTGGATTCGAACCCATGACCTTTCAGTTATGAAAGATTATCTTTACCACTGCTCTGGTTTGCCCCCTTTTGAGAGAGTAACTTATACGGATGTAAAATGATTTTGACCCATATATATATATATGTGTGTGTGTATGTATATAAATATATATTGTGTAAATTATATTTTTTATTTTAATTGTTGATTCCATTTATATCTAACGACTTCCGTGACTTATAAATTAGTCTCTTTGGATGCATGTAGATTAATGATTAAGATTGCGTGTAAAACTTGTTATTTTTATACCGGTGTAAGTTGTATATATATATATACTCACCTAAACATGCCTTTGATAGTGTCATTTTTTGTGTATCTTGCTCTACCACCTGGGAATCAGTTTTTGTTTTGTGTGACCTTTGTTTCAAAGTAAATATTGCATGTGATTTCTAGAAATAAAGATGGCATGGTTCAGCTCTAGACTATGGGGTGTTCATTTTATAGTGTGAAAGTATTTTTTTCTGGTGCATTTAATTTTTTTTAGGTGAATTGTGCAGACATGTATGTGTTTTTGTGCTGATTGTTGAGTTTTTGCTTTTAACAGGAGGATCAAAGAAAGAGAGAAGAGAAAGATGAGAGGAAGCGTAAATATAATGTTAGATGGAATGATGAGGTATTATATTTCATGTCACGAGTTAAGAATTTTATCTGTATGCATGCCTCGCGTGCAGATTTTTTAATCATCATAATGCTGCAGGTTAGGGCAGAGGATATGGAGGCATACAGGATGAAGAAAGTACATCCCGATGATCCAATGAAGAATTTCTTGCACTAAACTTGGAGGGAAAAAAAAAGGCCTGCTTCTCTTTCATTACAAGTCCACAAGAGCCTTTATGTTGTTTTCTTATTGTTCAGAATGGATTATCTGTTTGGCATCCTTGTTCCGTTGGCCTGTAGTGAGAGAAAGAGAAGCAGGAGTGGAACTGTTTGTACATATGACCCTAATGTAAACTGTGTTATGTAGCTTTTAGAACACTATTCCGTTTTAATGATTCTTTATTTTGATCCAGCTCTTCATGGATTAACTTCCAGCTTTTTATATATTATATATATATATATATATATATATATATATATATATATATCACCGTTTTATACATTCTGGATGGAGATTCTTCACATTTAATGCTTTCATCTTTTGTATGGTTATAATTCTCCGCATTTAATGTTTTCAAGTATATATATAGCAAGTATTTGATTGCTGCACGTGTAGATGATTGCTGCACGTGTAGCAGCTGTAGAAATGTAAATATATATATATATATATATATATATATATATATATATATATATGAGCCCTCACCTTCTTACATTCTGGGAGAGACGTTAGGGCTACGAATGCTAATGTACCCAGTATTAGTTCATCGGTCTAAAGTGAGGCTCATAAGTCTTACAATCACAAAATGGATATAATATGTGGCATCTTTAGCAACACCATCTTTTGGAACGTGTTCTTTTAATGCCAGGGGCTAAAGGAGGTCTGGCTGACAAAAAGGTTATGTTGTAGACCGTGGAAATGCTTTGGCTTTTTTGTTTTCATCTCTTGCATTTCGTTCCTGATATCAAACTATCTAATATCGATTGAAAAATAATGAACGAGATTGACATATTTGAGAGAATATCCATACAGGCTGGTCGTTAACTATCTAGTAGATCTATACTTAGGCAGTTATTCTTTTTAGGGTCCGTCGCTTCTCATGTGACTGCTGATGAGAAAAATTGCAGCAAATTTTTAACACTAGGATACACGTGCGGATCCTAGGATACACGTGTGGATTCTATCAAAAAAAAAAAAAAAAAAAAAACCAAGATTCGGACGCGTATCCTGTGTTGCTGCAAGTTTTCCCTTCTGCAGTCACAAAAGAAGTACTTTCCCCTTCTTTTTATCAATGTATGAAAATCAAATTGTTTTTGGGGACTACAGAGAGCGATTCTAGAACGTGAACTACAAATTTTTGGTAAGATGGAGATATTCGTTAAATTTTTAATTGTGTAAAAGATAAATTTGGATGAAAAAAAATGTAGGGGTTTTAAACTTTTCCCTAATATATATATTCGTTTATGGATTTTAGCTTTATCCATTGTTAGATTGCCACTAGCGGTTTTCACGATCTGAATTGAATTGGTTTTGAAAGTAAAAATTATTTGATTCAATTTCTTCGGTTTGATCATGTAATCATCCATTTGCTTTAGAACTTTTTTCAAATCCGATTCAATCCAATTTTTTGGTGTGGATTGGATCGGTTTTCGATTTTTTGAAAATTCTAAAAAAAAATTTTGGTAATCTTAAAATTTGTTTCATAATTATTGTGCAAATAACATCTTTTATTTATGTTGGATATGTAAAAAAAAATTGAAGGGATGACGCATGATGTTATGGTAATGTAAAAAAATTTGTCCATGCTTATTCTTATAGTGTAATTTTCTCTAACAAGTTTAAGTAAGTACTATAACATCAATTTTCCTGTTACAGCTGTGGAGCTATGACGCATGATGCTAAATCATGCATGGAAAGACCTCGGAAAGTGGGAGCAAAAAGGACAAACAAGCACATTGCCCATGATGAAAAGATAGAAGCCTTTGAGCTTGACTATGATGGTAAGCGGGACAGATGGAATGGGTACACGATGCATCAACTTGTGCTCGAGTCATTGAGAGGTATGAAGCTAGAGAAGAAGCTCGAAAGAAGTACTTGAAGGAACAACAACTGAAGAAATTGGAAAAGAGCAACCATAATGGTGAGGATGCTGCAAGCGATGAGGATGAAGAGCAAGACGACTAAGGGTAGATGAGGCAAAGGTTGATGAGAACAAACAAATGGACTTTGCAAAGGTTAAGAAGCGTGTGCGTACAACAGGTGGTGGGAGTACTGGAACTGAGGTATTTTTTTTGTTGTTGCCATCATTTTAATAATGCTAGACTTGGTTAAGTGGTCCAATGCTTAAGATTATCACTTTCATTATTTATCTTAGATGATTTAGTGCTGAACTGTGAGGTATTCGATAGGATACTGCAAAATATCTTCTTAATCTTGATGTCAACTCTGCACACTATGATCCCAAGTCCAGGGCCATGCGTGAAGATCCTCTTCCAGATGCAGATTCAATTGAAAAGTTTTATGGGGTAACTTGCGGCAAAAATTAAAATTTATAGGAAAAACTACGATTTGTTTTTACCGTTACATGTATGTTATTCATTTTTGTTCTTTGGGTTAAATCTGTTTTTGTTATGTAGGGTGATAACCAATATAGAAATAGTGGTCAAGCTTTGGAATTTAAGGAATTAAACATCCATGCTTGGGAAGCATTTGACAAGGGGCAAGATGTTCACATGCAAGCAGAAGCTGAATTGCTCTATAAGAATTTAAGAATTCTTAAATCTGCAACTTGCATGTTAATCTTACATAAAGTGCTTCTTGGTAGTGTAGCTGGAAATTTTTCCTTGACCTGTTAACACTTCAGGGTTTCATCATTAGTTTTTGTTTGAACTTTAAGGACTTTGCTTTATGGCTATTGCTCTTTTTTAAGATGTTAGATTTAGTTGTTATCTATCTGATGCCTCAAACAGGAAGCAGCACTTCCCAGGAGCAAGTATGAAGAAGATGTTTACATTAACAACCACAATACTGTTTGGGACTCATGGTGGAAGGATCAGCAATGGGGCTTTAAGTGCTGCAAGCAGACAATACGGAATAGCTATTGCACTTGTTCCTTTGCCCTGTAGTGAGAAAGAGGAGCGGGAGATGAACTGCTTGTACAGATGGCCAGTTACTGATGTTAACTGTATTATGTAGCATTTAGAACACTATGCCGATTTAATGATTCAATACAATTCATTGATTTTTTATTTTATTTTTGGTTCAGTTCTTTATGGATCAACTTTCACCTTCATATATATATCCGCCTTTGCCCTCTTACATTCTGCGAGAGACGTTGGGGCTACTAATGCTAATGTACCCAGTATTAGTTCATCGATCTCAAGTGAGGCTCATAAGTCTTAACAGTCACAAAATTTGTATCAAAATAGTATGGCTTTTTTTGTTCTAAGGAGTTTTCATCTCTTCCAATTCGTTGCTGATATTAAACAATCTATATGGATCGGAAAATGATGAACAAAGTAGTTGACATAATTGAGAGAATATCCTTACAGACTGGTCGTTAACTATCTAGTAGACCTATACTTCGGTAGTTGTACTTTATATCAATGCATGGAAATCAAAGATGGAATTTACACATTGATAAACGTAGCTACACTACTAGAGAGAAAGATTCCAGAACACGTGCTACAGATTTCTGGCTAACATCTCTTGTGCCGCCATTTGTTCTCTGAACCTGGCGATGAACTCTTCTGCTCGTTCATCTATTCCTTGCATCAGGGGTGAGGCTACTGCTGCTAGTGACTCCCACATATCATCTGATGTAGAGGGTTTGTCAGATGCACCTTCCATGCTTGTTCCTCCTTCTTCTTCTTCCCTTGATTGATATGGGAGCTTTGCAGTTTTTTCAGTTCGTGGTTTGAGAACTTTCTGTGGCTTCATATTCTCCACCAAGTCAAAGGAAGGCTCTTTAAAGAGCTTATCGATATACACAGGTGCAGGCTTTTTGCGGAAGCCGTAGATGACACTTGTGACAGTTGCTAACCTTTTGTGGCGAAAACGCTTAGTAGCAAGGAACTTAGGAGGGGCTTTGGTAGTCTGTGAAGTGTTGTTGTTTAGATGCTTTCTTTGTTTCTTCATGGCTTTGGACCTACGAATCTTACGAAGTTTTCCTAGTGTGGAAGTGAGGCTTTTCCATGCCTTTCTAGCATGTGGAAACCTTAGCATGATGCAGGACATGGAGAGAGAACAAAGCAAGGCTTCAAATCAAAGAGGATAGATGATTAACTTTGTAGGTTAAACTCAAGTTCCAATGTAATGAGTTGGTTCCTTTATAATATAGATGGGTTAGATTCCCTTTTTCCATATTGTATTCATATTTGAGGTGTTGCTTTTTTGGGAAGTAGCTTAGTTATTACGCTGTATATTTTGATAAATTGAGCATAAAGGCTGCTAAATTATCCAGTACCAACGAGCTAGCTTAATTATTAAGTTGACACTAACATTAATGGATTTTATTAATATCATGTTAAAAGAGATTAGTTATCTCATATTATAGAGATAAATTTGTGAGTTTCGTCACCTAAAAAAAAAAAAGATGGCACAATTATCGAAGGATGTGTAGAAAGAAAAACTTATCTCTATGTAACATGAGAATAGTTTTTCCCAACATTAATATATAAAACTAGAATCTTCACCTTTTTTTTTCTTGATATTCGTTTATGGCTTATAGCTTTACCCATTGTTTGGACGAGTCTTTGTGAATCAGAAAGGTAGTCTTTGGTTGAGATTTTATTTTTGGATTTCCATCAATTTGATATTGGTATTCTATGTTGCTAAGATTATATCATTAACTATTTCTTTTCTTTATTTTATTTGGAGTGCGAGGAACTTATCATGAATCCATTGACGTTTGATAGCAGAAATACAAAAATTTACCCACCAATCTGTTTTTTCCATCCTTTGTGAATTGCATGCAAAAAGGTAGAGAATGCACTCTTGAGGTTTACCATTTGTGAAGTGGTATTTCGAGAGAACTAGGAAAATGAAAAAAGATGAATAAAAAATATGACTTATTTAACTCTATTTTTCTGATAAAATTTTGCCCATCCAAATAAATTTTTTTTAACTTTTCTACCAAACTCACTTTTCTATCTTTCTTATCACTTATCATATTCCTGTTTATTACATTTACCTGCTTAAAGAAAATATCTCCATTTTTTCCATGGATGTGTGCGTGAAATAGGTAGCAGTTCGTGAATCTACTTTTCCATAAATCTAAACTGGTAGATTCTATAGTTGCGTATAAAATTTGCAAGTATGCACCACCATGGTGCAGAATATTATCATAGTCCTGTCCTGACATGCTCTAAAACCAACTATTCAATGTAACACAAGCCCACGGTATATTGTATCCTGTATTCTAGTTACAGTTTTTTTTTTTTTAAATCTCTAGCTACAGTTTTTGTATCTTCTATTTTTCTCTCTTCATAATCATGAAATGTATTTGCTACAATAAAAATTAACGTATTGACCTAATTTTTATTTTCTTTTTATCTTTTGTTAGGATACTAAAGTGAATAGCAATAATAAAACTTTTTTAGATAAATTTAACTATATAGTCAAAAGGATAATATTGTTTGTCATTGAAAACAATAAGTGCTAACGGTCTTGCCTTTTTATATTTTTTTTAAATCTTAAAAAAATATTAGTATGTACTTGCAATTCTATCCTTTTAAAATTCATCTTTACATCATTAGACAGATAGCTAATAACGGTTATTAAAAAAACGATATCAAAATAGAAAATCCTTCGCAATGAAATAGTCAAGTAGCACAAATGAGGTTCTATGGTGGCCCTTTTTTTCTTTTCTTTTTTCAGTAAACGGTTTTGTGTTTTTTACATCCGTACATCATTGACCATTAGATTTTGTATTATCCAAACAATATACTCAGCATTTAATAATCACCTATATCTATAGATGATTATTAGCTGAAAATATATAATAATCATTTAATAGTGCATTTGTTACTTACGCAGCTACAAATATAACCTGTTTTATGAATTCAAATCCAATCAATGATATCTTAATAAGACAAAAGTCAATCATATAAACTATTCAGAGCACATATTCAGCATTCAACAATTTATCATGAAAGCAGATAACTTAAAAAGTTTTGTTTAATTTTCATGAAGATGGATATTCTTAGGCTTTTTCACCTTTTTGTCCTTTATTAATTAATTAATAACTATTTTGTCCCTGATTCGAAACTATTTATCAATCTGCCCCTCTTTAGTCGGCTATCTTGAATTTTTAATCGACTAAATGGCCAAAACAGACCAAAAATGGCTGCTGGGAGATTTAGTCGACTAAATCTCCCTATTTAGTCGACTAATCATATTTTACAAAAAAAAAAAACAAGTCAGTATGATTTTAATCGATTAAATAGGGAGATTTAGTCGATTAAATCTCCCAACAACCGTTTAGTCGATTAAAAATGCAAGGTAGTCGACTAAAGAGGGGCAGATTGATAAATAGTTTCGAATCAGGGGCAAAATAGTTATTAATTAATTAATAAGGGGCAAAAGGATGAAAAAACCGATATTCTTACCACCAAAATTTTTTATTATCAACTCACTACCTATCTAATCATCATTGGATAAGAATATCCTCCCTCAATTTTTATTGCAAACAAGCAAGACGTAAGTAATACTATAAAGGGAAATGTTTTTTTCCTTTCACGTGAGACAAGATTTCATTCCTACACATACATTGACTTCCTTGCTATTTTTGTTTTTACTTTTTTTTAAATTACTGGTGCCACTCTTTTGTGTCACTAGGAGACACTCTCGTGTTAAAGGATAAAAGTATTCCCCAATTATAAATCATCACTCAGGACATATTACAGTCCATAACCTCTGCATATGATAAGGTCACTTCTTCTAAATTTCTGTTCACAAATTGAAAACAATTTGACATCCTCCACCAAACTCAAACATATAACGTGGTTAAGAATAAAAAAGAGAGAGAGAGAGAGAAAATCAAAGATTAATTAAAAAGTGTGGTGAGTAATACAAAATCAATTATCACCCTTGCAACATTCCAACATCACAAAGAGTATGTGTGGCTAGCCAATTGCCCAATTCTAAATGAATAATAAGAAGTCATTACCCAAAAAACACACCACCAAAGATTAAAACTTAAAAGCATAGATGAGTATGAATATATTACAAGCAAGCCTTGTTAGCCAACGAGAATTGTTTGGCTTGAGAAGCTGCTGCAACTTCAGACACCAATGCTTTTATCACCAAAGTCTTCACTTGCCAAGGCTTATAGGGGAAACCCTCTCTGGCATAAGAGTTCAAAAGTGCTGCACTCCCTTCCTTCACTAACCCTCCAAAAGGGTTCTCTTCCTCGTCGTTCCTCGCCGTCGCTTCCAGCAACGTCAGATCCGATCTGTACCGTTCGTAAACCCTCGACCCAAACACATTCGAGACCGTTGATGTCTCTGGAACCATCCTCGGCCATGTCTCTCTCCTTCCACTCCAGAACCTAACCACAACACACATGTAACATTTCATGACATCATAATTACCATCATCAACAACAAACAACAATAATAACAACAGAACCGTGTTTCTTACTGAGGAGTGCATCTTCCTCTGTTCCTCGTATACAGGAAGCCAGGCCTATGGTGTCTCTGAGCTTCTGCTACAAAATGGGAAGCTGATAAGAGAAGACAAAAGAGAACAGGAAGGAGTGAAACCATCCTTGTCATCTTCCACACCTGATTTTGAATTCTCATTTGTTAAACGTCCATTTATGCTATCGAGTACTTTTGAGATTTCGTTCTGATTTGGTTTATGCTAGTTTGAACGTTACACTTGCACAGCACTGTTTGACTCTGCTATCTAGGAACACGTGAACATACTTGCTTGGACAAAGTTACCCTTTGTTATTAATAATATTATCATAGAGAAAAACCAAGCCCACTGCAGCTCGAGGCTATTTCACTACTTTACGATCCATTTGAAGTTTGGGCTTACACATGTTACCTTGTTGCTTAGTTTTAAGATTGGGCTTACACATAGATATTTACCTTTATTTAATCTGTTCTCAATTCTGTTCATTAAGATATTTTAAGTTGACCAAAAAATTTAAATAAATTTATATTTGTAATTAGAAATTATATAAGATTTTAAATTTAATAAATTGAATTCATTAAATGATATAACATATAATATAATAACTTATTCTTATATTATTTTTAAAAAAATCGTAATAGTGTTTAATTCTCTCATATGGTGCGAAAAAGTGTTAAAGATATAGTTTTTCTCTTTTATAAATTGTGTTTTGTATGTGGCATATGTAACCTTAATTAAACATAAATATATGTTTACAAAAAAATAAAAAATAAACATAAATATATTCAAAATTAGTATACTAAATTAACATCATCATTGAAACTAGGGTTGGCAAAAACGAGCCAACCCGTTCTAAATGAGTCGGGTTGGGTTGGCCTAAATGAGCTGCCAACCCGATACAACCCGACCGGATACAACCCAGACCCAAACGAGTCAGCCCTCGGGTTAAACGGGCCAGCTCGCGGGTTGGGTATTTTTTTTTAAATTAAAAAAAATAAAACGTTTGGTTTGAGTTTTTTAACGCTGAAGACCAGAATCTTTTTCCAGTATCAGGCGCTAAAACGTTTGAGCTTTAACGTTTTAACGTTGAAGACCTGCATATTTCTGGCTTTGACGTGCAACAGCGCGCTAAAACGTTCTGGATGAATGTTTTAGCACTCCAGACCAGCATCTTTTAGTTTCTTTCTGTAGCAGGGCGCTAAAACGTTCTGGATGAACGTTTTAGCGCTCAACACTTAGAATTTTTTCTCTTCTTCAGAATCTTCTTCCTTCTCCTAGAGCCAACCCGCGAGCTTTTTTCCGAGCCAACCCGCGAGTTGATTATCGAGCCAACCCGCGAGCCAACCCTAACCCGGCTCGAGTTTTCTGACTCGTTTATTTTTTCGAGTCAACCTTAACCCGACCCGATTTTTACGGGTTAAATGCGGGTTGGGCCGGGTTTGCCAACCCTAATTGAAACTTGGGACTTAACCAAATGAAACTGGTTAGGGAGAAGATCTGGATGACTAGATATACTTTGATATTATTAAGGCCATATTAGGCTCATATTTATTATTCTGGTACCCGAAGTATGTTACACCGATCCAAAATGTGCGTAGCTAAAAATTCATAGTGCGCTTGATAACGTTGATGCTATCGAGTTTAACACTGGTTGAACGAGGGACACGTAAGTGAAGGTGAGTTGTTTGAGACGTAGATAGATATTCTTCAGCATGCAAGCCTGGCTTTCAATCCCTGATTTCTTACACCTCACTTTGTTTATTGGCGCTTCCGTGCAGCTTCACATAATCATCCAACAATGATATTGTATGTTTGCTTCTGCTACCTGCAATTTTTACTGAATCTGCCCTCAAACCAACTGACAGGGACCCCGCATTAATTGTCCTTCTCCTTGTTTTATCGTATCTAATTATTTCATTAATTTGAAGGAGAAAAAAAAAATTTTAAATTTCAGTGGCACCGTGCATTTCCTTCATCTTATCTATTTGTTTTTCGATTTTTTCTCTTTTACATTTGAGGTTCACTCGTGATCTCAGTGGGGATAACATTCTTGGATTTTTGCATGGAAACTTACCGAATTTTCAGAAAACTGAATTTTTTTAAATTTTTAATTTTTAGATATTATGGTAAACTAAATGTTTTGATCATATTTTTAAAAATTAAAATTTTCGAGTAAATTTTTTTTTTTTCCCTGTACTAAACGCTTAGTCGTCAAAAATCCCTTTCGCTTTCGCCTGTTTTTTATATTTATTTATTTTTGCTCTACATTTTGCAACTGTGCTAGAAAGTAAAGTAATGCCTCGACCTTGTTTCACATGTAAATAATTATTGGGATTTACTAATCTTATGTTACATAAGATAGTACTTTCAAGTGAGTGATACAAATATGTGAGTCCACAATTTAAAAAGAAAAAAAAAATTTACATAAGATTCTATGGACTTTTTCATTCTTTTGCCCCTTATTAATTAATTAATAACCATTTTGCCCCTGATTCGAAACTATTTATCAATCTGCCCCTCTTTAGTCGACTACCTTGCATTTTTAATCGACTAAATGGCCAAAACAGACAAAAAATGGCTGCTGGGAGATTTAGTCGACTAAATCTCCCTATTTAGTCGACTAAATCTTCGTATTTGACCAAAAAAAATAAGTCAGTACGATTGTAATCGATTAAGTAGGAAGATTTAGTCGATTAAATCTCCCAACAATCGTTTAGTCGATTAAAAATGCAAGGTAGTCGATTAAAGAGGGACAGATTGGTAGATAGTTTCGAATCAGGGGCAAAATGATTATTAATTAATTAATAAGGGGCAAAAGGGTGAAAAAACCAGATTCTATGGATATATAACATGAGATATATATCTTATGCAGCATAGACTAACATTTTCCGTAATTATTTAAGTATAACTTTTAGATATATATACCCAGTTCAAATATTTGATTTTTTTTTTTTCCTTTTCAAGTTTGTGTCCGTGCACTAAAATACTAATTACTTACACCCAACTAAGTCTGTAAGGGCAGGTGGCTATATAGTCCAGGAGATACAGAGTGGTCCATTTTGTTTTGCGCATGCAGCAGGGAGAGAACTGGAAGCATATGATTCTTGTTGGGTGCTTGGTTCACTGGGAAGATTAAAAACAAAAGTTGAAATTTGGCGGCTTCGAAAAAATATTTTAGAAAATAAACTAGAGTTATAATTATATATTAAATAAAAAATAATAAAATATATTTTTACAATTTTATCATTTATTTTAAGGGACAAATTATATTTATAAATTTTTTATTTACAAATTCTTATAAATTTAAGTATGTATTAAGGGTAGTACATAGTTAAGTTTGTAAAAATTTATAAATAAAAAAATCATAAATATAACCTTCTTCTTACTATAAATAAGACTTTATGTAATACTTTATTTCAATTTAGTCCTTGCATATCATGTCCTGCCTACTATACAAAATGATATCATCTAGACATTAAATATTATTTTATTTTTTTGGATCCAATTTAATGCTTATTACTTGGGACTAATTAACAGTATATAGCATGGAGCTGACCAACCAGTGGCAGAATTACTTAAAGGGCAGGGTAAGGCCTTAGTTTGGGCTAAAATTAAAAAATTAATCACTTTTTAACATGACTAAATAACCTAAATTCTTGGATAAAATTTAATATTAGGTTCCACCTAAATTTTTATTGGCCCTAACTCAATAAATTAGGTAGCTCCCCCACTGGTCCGTAACCAACAACTATAAGTTGGAATGAAGTTGAATATATTGTTATCTGATATTCTTTTCCTTTTATTTTTGCAAGAAGGACAAGAAAGAAACAAATAAAAGCAACACCACACAAACTTGACAGAAAATTGTGCATTGGAATTTCCGTTTTTATTTAAGCTCTTCCAGCAAAAGGTTCATGAGTCGCACTCATTACACATTACATTTTCAATTTCTCATTAAACAAAAGCCATCAAAGCCTTTGTTTACTTATTCAAATTTATTATTATCGGAACATACTAGCAAGTGACAAAAACAACACATGTCACGCAAGCAAAAAGGCCTCGAGTGTTTCTAAGCCACATTTCTAGCTTCAGACTCACGAGGAGGAACCAGATATTTGAAGGGGTTATTGTTCTTGACCTGCCTGGCCTGCTCCCTCTTCAGGTTATATGCTCCCGCAACCACTTCCTCCGGCAAAGACCTTAGCAACGAGTTTCCCCCAGCAAGGGTGGCGATCACTGCTCTATCATTAGTCTTGAATGCCACATACCTGAACTTGTCGCTCAGGGATTTCGCAGCCACAGCAAAGTTTTGTGGCACTATCAGCACCCGACCCTCTTCTAGCTCACCGTCGAACACAGCATTGCCAGTGCAATTCACAACTTGTACCCTTGCCCGTCCTTTATATGCGTATAGTATACTGTTTGCGTTGATGTTGTAGTGAGGCACAATCATAGCATTCTATGTACCATACATGGATACAAATATACAAACAAGTTAGAAGAGAAAAAACACAAAGATAGCTGAGTTGGCAATTGAGTGCCAAAGTTTAAACCTTGTCTAAAGTTTAATTCTTGAAATTCTTTGGAAGTCAGATAGAAAATCAATCTCACTTTCCTTCCTACCAAGGTGGTCTAATGCATCCTCTATTTTAGTTAAGAAATAGTCTTTAAAGTCGTACTCCGAAGACTGTTTTAATTAAGAACTAGTCTTAAAAGTCGTACTCCGAAGACAAGATTATTGGAGGAGATTGAGTGGGAATAATTATCTACCAAAAAAAAAAGAGAAAAAAGAATAACATACTTTGCGGAGATATCCATGTTCAGCGCTGAGTCTGAGCAATCTGAGGGCTGGGAGATCGAGGCTGGTGACGGTTCTGACGCTACCAGCTTGAGGGTTGTAGATGTCAGGTGATGAATATCTACCAACGTTCTCGCGAAGTCTCATGGTGCAAAAGGTCTCCTCGAAGCCATTATCTTTGTCTCCTCTACCGCGGCGCTTCTCATCCTCTTCCTCTTGCTCTTGCCCTTCTTCCTCTTTCTCCTGTCTCTGTCCCTGTCCCTGTCCCTGTCCCTGATCTTGTTGCTTTGGTGGGCTTATGATGCTGAGACCTCCTTTCACTTTGATAACGCCGCCTTTCTCCTCATCCTCGTCTTCACCTTGTAGTTTTCTTACTATATCCTTGTCCACGCTTAAGGAATGTTGCAAGAATTCCTTGGCAAAGCCCTGGAAAATGTTGCCTCCTTCATTTTCTTTTTCCTCTTCTTTCTTACCGCTTTGACGACCTCCTTGCCCTTGCTGATATTGTAGAAACTCTTGCTCGTGGTTCCCAGCAAGATAAAATCTCTGTCAAGTATATATATTGTCATGAGCAAATAATTGCCAAATCTGTTAGTCTTAGGTTAGGACTCATAGGAGCATTATAAAAACGTGTTATTTAGCACTTAGTAACATTAGGCCATCATTTATCAAATTATCATATTATAATATATAGGCAAGATATTTTTGACTCCGTGTAGGTTTCAAAAGTCTTACTCCTCCATCTGAGTAGTTGATTTCATCCGTGTAGGTTTCAAAAGTCTTACTCCTGAGTAGTTAATTACTAGAAGAGCCATTACATCAAAATGGATCAATAGTATCATATACTTACAAACCAGAGTCGTGAAGTATCAAATTTGAAATTTGACACGGGTGTCAAAGGATCCTATCCCCTCTATATATATATATATATAATGAATCAGATTAATTTGATAATGATAGCTCACCCTAGGCAACTGATCAAGCTGGTTTTGGTTGCTGCTGGTATCAAGAAGAGAAACGGCAACAACTGGTGTGTCTTCATCATTGTACATCCAGAAAGCAACACCAGTAGGCACTGCGATAACATCACCCTCTCTGAACCGGTGAACCTTTTGGTGACGGTCTTGTGGCCTCTGGCTCCGTCCTTTTTGAGATTCCTGTGGCTTTTCATAAGTCTCAGGACAACCAGGGAATATAATGCCGAAAACTCCATTACCTGTTGGTAGTACACAAACACAAACACCAACACCAAAACATTATTATATATAAACACTACACATTTATTTATTTATTTTTAAATGAAAATGAATTACATACATATAGAAGATTAATACATAAAGAAATTTGAACAGGATCAACCGAACCTTGTTGGATGAAAATTTCCTGGGGAGCATTGGTGTAGAAAGGTCTGCGAAGGCCATTGCGTTGCAGGGTGCAACGAGAGAGGGCCACACCAGCACAACGGAATGCCTTGTTGTTGGGGTTCCATGTCTCAATCAAGCCACCTTCGGATTCTATGCGGTTATCGGGTTTAAGGGCTTGCAGGCGTTCCAGCTGGCACTCATTTTGCTGTGACTGCTGCTCTTTGGAAGCCAAGCAGCCACTGAAAAACAGAAAACAAAGGGAAAAAGAGAGCACAAGAAGCTTTGCCATGGTAGAATGTTTGTTGTGTGTTTGTGAAGCGGAGAACCTGAGTTGTGCTTATTTATAGGGAAGAGAGAGGAGTGAAGGAGGGACACGTTAGAGAAGGTAGGGTGCTGAGCATTAGACATTCTTCAACATGCATGGCTATCTAAGCCTTGCGTGTTACACCTCATAATATATGACAGTGCAAGTGGCTTCGGCATCTCCATAATGAAACAAAGAACAAGCTTGTTTGCATTGTAATTGCTATCTAGGTGCAGTGGCTCAAACCGATGGCTGGGGGGACCATGGTTTCATTTCTTTTCTTCCTAGGTTCTTTTTTTGGTTTTATGCATGCTGATTATTGCATATTGGATAAGTTATACACAATTTCAATTTCTTTCCATTTTTTTTTTCTTCTTCTGGTGTTACTAAACTATTCAGAGTTTCTTTGGGTGTGGTTAATTTTATTATAATTTTTCTGTTACAGAGACTTGATTTTATGAGCCAGGCAACATGTGACATTTTAAGTGAGTACTTAGTTTAGTGGTTTGAATATTACTTTTTAGACTTCTACTTTGCCCAATACTGATGTTGTTGTTTCTGCATAATTCCTTGTTACTATTCCAATGCATTTCCTTCATTAAGCTTAGCGTTTGAAGTTTTTGGCTGATATTTGTCTGCAGAAATCTTGAAGCTTCTGAGTTATTGAACCATTTTTTAAAAACTCCTTTCATTGTTAAGGCAATATCGGACCTTAATTTATTAACAAAAAATTGATTACTTAATCCATTAAGAACCATTATGATTGAATTTTAATCATCCCAACCAACATATGAGATGCAAAATGTTTAGAGTAAATAGATGCCTCAACTAAACATGGAAATAAAGACACTCCTAATAGGTTTGCATTATTTCTAGTTTCTATAGTTAACAGCGTGAAATAATTCTGTTTCTAGATACCATTTCTCCCCTATTTGTTTATTTTTTTAATTTTTTTTGTCCTGCTTATGATATTCATCGAAATGAAAATCAGGCTACAAATGTAAGATAATTAAAAAATAAATAAAACACAATAATTCAAATTCGTTAAAAGAAAAGAGCATGAGAGTAAAAAAGGAAGAAGTAGAATACTGTAAAATGAAACTGTATAGGATGATCAGAAAATGTTCCTCTTCATCTCTCTGCAAAAGCCTTAGTACGAGGAACTTAGTTGATGGTAAAAAGGACAAATACACACAAGATCAACATTTACACTTGACTTCAATATACTTGAGGAGCACGGACTCCATTATGTATAGCGCTAAATCTCAAGTTTTAGCTAAAAAATTAAACAGAGTAAACATCTCTATTTGATGCTATAAAAATTATTAAAAAAAAATTAAATTCAAATAATTCAATTCGGCATAATAAACCTGAAAGTTCCAATTCTGAAACGACCAATAACACATTTTTTTGTGCAGTCGTATACTAACGTTAAAAGATAATTATGGAAACATAACTCACAAAATTCGATGCCATATGTCCCAAAGAAAATGCATCTGCATGAAATGTACACAAGATCAATAAATCTCACTTGCAATACAACAAAGTGTAGAAATAGAGATTCACAGACATCAAATTCGGGCTTAACCATAATTCATAAACACCAAGAAAATGCGACCCTTAACGAGAATCTCTAGCGACTTGCCACTGAAAAGTGGAAACGGTGAAAGGTAGCGAGTTTCTACTTGTGCGACATGACGTTTTAAGCTTCTTTGCCCTGCATTTCTTTCTTTCTTTTTTTTCAAGTCTTCTCTTGTTTAGTGTTTGTGTTTAGATTAATTTATTTTATTCCTAAAATAATTTATAATTAATTTTTTTCTTATCTCAATTTATAACCAAAATTTTACTATTTTTTATAAAAATTCTTTAAAACCTAAATCAAAACCAATAATCCGTTAACAAGACAGGGTAAATTTATCATCCAAAGTGTCTTATGTTTTTAATAGCATTTACTATGTCACCTTCTGATTGTTTATCCTTAATTTTGTTATTTCTACACTTCGGCTCATCTTGATGGCACTCACGTTTAATGATTTAAATTTGACCGCCACACTTAAATTAAATTTAATTAAATAGATTATAAGTTATAAATCCAAGAGTAATTAAGAAAATGATAAGTAATTAACTTAATTTAATTACATAAAAGTAGTATACATATAAAGCAAAACAAGTGTACCACTATCACCGCAATTCGAAGGCCAAACTCAATTGTAGAAGCCGTCAAATCCTATACATTTCCCCAACAGAAGTGTGTCGAACTAGAATAATTTTTTCTTTTAAAAACATGCCTCGGATCACTTTTTTTTTTAAAAAAAAAAAAAAAAGACACGACACAACTGCACAGGATCCACAATAAACTTCTTCCTGAAGAAAAGGAAAGAATCCCTGTCCCTTTGTGCCTACTTCAAATCACAGATCAAGTAACAGCTAATGCACTAAGTAGGGCGCATCAAACATAAAAAATTGACAGGCATTGAACATCCAAAGTTTGCTCAACTATCGGAGAACATAGTTGCTTGCTTACATGTGTGATCTGTTGTCTCCATACTCCCAAGTACCAACTATAGGCCTCACAATCAAAATGAGGGCATGAATGTATAGGAACGAACCAAATTAACATTATGAGGAACTAACATGATCTCACAATTCACAAGGATTAAATATCACAACCTCCAGGATGAAACTCCTGCCAATTACATATTCGGGCAATCACAGAAGGAACCATAGGTTATTACAAGATATGGACAAAGACAGAATATAATGCTAGAAGAAACATGCCACCTTTCTTTCCTCATTCAGTATTTCTCTTGAAGCTAGACTCGGCATTCTTCTCTTTTGTGCTATCCAGAATTTTGGTTTCAACATGACCATCCACCTCGGTTGCATTGACTTCCAGAGTGTTAGATTTTTGGGGTGGCTTTCCATCAAGACTCTGAGTAGCTTCAGACTCTTCACATTCATCACCTTCAAATCTTTCAGGTAGTTCATTGGGATTTTGAACAGCTTCCGCATCATGCTTCGCAGGGTCCGCATTTTGTTGCTGTTGTGCCCCAGATATTTGAGCAGCTTCCAACTCCTCATATTTGGAAACTACTTGTTGCAGCTCATCATTAAGATATAAAGCCTCAAAAAGTGTCACTTCATCGTCCGTGGTGCTTTCCACAATCCCCTTGATGACAGAGAGTGATTGCTGGCACTTATCCAACAAGCTGACAGTTAAATCTTCCTGCAACCACACAAGAATATTGTAAATTCTACTGGCAAGTTATTCTATTATATAGCTATATAGTAATTATCCGACAGTATTAACTGGTGCATAACATTTGGGATGGGGGTGGGTGTGGGGCGGGGGAGAGGTGAAAAAAATTCTCTCTACACCCCATCTGCAAGCAAGTATCGTATTTGGCAATTTCAGTAATTAAAAATCTGTGATAGAAAGACTCGATACATACAACAAACATCATGAAGTAGTCAACAAAGCACCAATTTATTATTCAGGTAATGTTGCTTTTGTTTAACTTCAAAAAGTTTACCTTTAAAGGTTTTGGCTCTGCCTCAGAGTTTAATATGCTAGAGAGTAATTCAAGACTGTTTCGAGCAACCACAAGATGCTCTTTCTTCTCTTCAATTGATACGTGTTGGTGATTAGAAGAGAAAGTTGCTGAGTCATCCACAGCATATAGTCCTGCTTCAGGAATAGGGTATCTTTCGGGGGGATCTACAGGCTGTTGATGCATATATGACTCCAAGGCATACGGAACAGGTGGTGAATTTCCTCCTGCCAAGTCTTGAGGTTCATCTCTTCCTTTCAAACTCTGCCATTAACCATGGAAAATATAGGATTCAAATAAATGTGACAGAGACTGATGCAAAAGCATCAATTATAGTAAAATATAAAAATAAAAAGGCATTGCATTTTAAAGAGTAGAATTAGGGAGGACATCAAGCACTATACAATTAGCAGTTATGCACTTCAAAATCAATATTATGTAAAAGATCAAGTTCCCAGGGTTACCTAGGAAATGCTATTTTCACATAAACAATATAAAGGGGGCGAACCAGAAGCAGTGGTAAAATTGTTCCTTCATGACTGAAAGGTCATGGGTTCGAATCCAGGAAACAGCCTCTTTGCAATTATGCAAGGGTAAGGCTGCGTACAAAGATTTCCTCCACCCCACACTCGCTAGTCGGGTTTAACGGGGAGTGGTTTAAGTTTAAGTTTTTACACTTTTTGCAAACAATATCTAGAAGCTACAAATAACAATAAAAATCAAGTGAATACCAAAAACAACAAAGTTTTTGTTCAAAGATAATTAGAGGCCAAGGATATTTGCTTATCAAATTTTCAATGGTTTTTAGCACCTATGTCATTTAAATTATCCAGGAGAAGGAATAAATGGTAAACTACAGTTGTGAAGGGAAGCTTATTTTGAAATCACATGGTTTGTGTTTTAAGTAAAATGGAGTATATGGAACGCAAGTTTAAAAAGACAAGTGCTTGCACTGGCTTGGAGGTCAAAATTGGAGATCATAAATACCAAAAGATACAGTGTAGCATATCTTGGCTCTGTCAAACAAAGTAACTGATAAATAGAGATATAAATCATAGCATTCATGCTAGGTAGATGAAATGGAGGAATGTTTCAAGCATGATTTGTAATCAGAAGGTGCTTCTCAACATTAAAGGAAAATGTTAACGCACAACCATAAGGAGAGATACTTTATGGTACTGAATGTTGAGCAGCAATGTAGCAATGGATAAGCCAAAAAATTGGTAGAATCAATTAAAAAGACTCGGCCATGTGGGAAGAAGACTATACAGCCCTAGTAAGAGGAGTTGATTATATGGAGGCTAACCCAATAATTAAAGGCAGAGGAAGACCAACCACAAAACCTCTAAGTGAAATAGCCTCTATGAAAACTTGGTTTTTCACAAAACACAATGACATTGTTTGATGATTTGATCCATGTAGCCAAACAACCGTAATGGAAAAAAAGGCTTTTGTAGTTTGTTTTACTTTTTTTGTCACTTGAACTAAATCAATTTTTAACATCCTTTCATAATAGTTCCTCTTTGCAAAATTATAAAATTATAAGGGTAAAGCGATGTACAATCCACCATATACAAAGTTAGGGAATCTAGAGAGACTGAAAAGACAAGAGCAACTAATATCCTAACAACATATCCCAAGTAATGTTATGCTTGGATAATCATAAAACGAAACTCACCATATAGGTTTGACGAAACACGGGAAGATAGGCAAGATCCTCGGACTCACCCCAAGCCCTGATCAACTGAGAAGCCCTTCTTCGATTGTGAGGATCAGCTTGAGGATTATCAATCAATCGAACCATATCATCAAGCAGCTTCTCAGAAGCCACTTCAGAAAACACCTTTTCACAATTCATGGCACAAGCTTCCAACAAGTCAAGGCTGAGCCTCTGAACAACGGGGCTCTTGTGTGTGATCTTCCTCTTAATGGCTTTCACAACCTCAGTCCCATTAAACTCCTCACTGTTGATCATCCCACATATCCTCAAATTCATGCCCCAGTTTGGTTCCTCCATAGTCTCAAGCGTTGCCTCGTCCACCATCTTCGATTCGGGTGTTGGACTCTGCAATATCTCCTTCATTTTCCCACTCACTATTCGACCCATCTGTGCCCCACCCGTTTTCAGCCTCTCCCCCAGTTGAGCTAGCTTCGACTTGTCCATTTTTTCTGACAAGACAAAGAAAGAGGAGAAAACAGTTAACGTGTTTTTTTTTTTTTTTTTTTTTTTGCAAAAAACGATGAAATGAAAACGAAATGCAAAGTTATCACAAAGAAAAAAAAATGTTTTGTGTGTTTGATTTGTTCGGAGGGGTTAAGGTTATGACAAAATTACAAACCTGGAATAGGTTAGTTCGAGGGAACCCTAGATCGGATGAAGTTTGTTGAAAGTAGAAACTTAACCTTCGAAGATTAAACTGAATATGTTGTATGTTTGAACTTTGATGTTGGATTACGTGGATTTGTTGGAGGCTTGTGGTCGTGGATGGATTATCGTGAGTGGGCCAGGGGATCAACTGGGCGGTGTATTGCTTCTGGTGGGTCCGCCACATATACTTTTTTTAATATTTTAATTAATGCTTACTGGGATTTGTGGGTGGGATTATTAATAATTATTTGTATTTCACGGAAAATATCTTTTTATAATTAAGAGAAAAGTTCGCTGATATCCCTGTGGTTTGTTTCAGAATCGCTCTTTTTCCCGATGTTCCTGTGGTTTGTTTCAGAATCACTTATATTTCTGTGATTTTTTTATCACATATACCCTCGTGCTTTGTAAAAAATAAAAAATCACAAGGGCATATGTGATAAAAACATACCTTTTTACAAACTACAGGGACATATGTGATAGAAAAAAATCACAGGGACTTAAGTGATTCTGGAACAAATCACAGGGACATTGGTGAACTTTTCCCTATAATTAATAACACTGAAGTTTTTTTTTTATACTTTTAATAAATGAATATCTCAAATGAGTTAGCCGATTTATCAAGAGTCTATGACCCAACTTACATAAAACAATATTGGATAGGTTATTCTCTCTATTTTTATTTTGTCTATCTTTGTCTACCTCTTTTAACATCGTTAGATTACAATCTCATCTAATGGTGGAGATTTGCGGAATAAAATAAATCTTTTTTCCTTTCTTTCTCCTTACTACCTCCCACACTCTTTCTCTCTCTCGATTTGCATAATTTACAATCTGAATTTATATTTGAAACTAAATTCAATCAATGATTAATGGCATGATAATTCTGCTGGATGAATATAATTTTCAAAATTCCTTGTATCTGATATAATTGAACACTGCAGAAACCACAAAATTACAAAAAATGAAAACCACGAAAAATCCCTTCATGTGAATTAATCCACGATTACCGTAACGTTTCTATTTTGATGTTGAAATTGAAAATCGAATCAACTTATCTCCTTCTTTTTCTTATCTAGTTTTTCACCTAAAAGTGGGGAAAAGATCTCTGTTCTATCTATGTTACACCCAACAACATGCATACCTGATCTCATAACATAGGGCATATGAGTTTGTTTCTTATTGACACCCTTTTATAACAATGGCTGGGTTGAATAATTTGAGAAAAAAGCTTGCACCTTTTTTTTATGCTGAAGCGCTATTAAAGAGAGAGAAAGAAGAAGAGAGAGAAAGAATGAGAGGCAGTGAGAGAGAGATTAAAAAAATATATATATATATAAGCACATATTTAATGCATCGTATTTAATCTGAATAGGATTAGTTTAGATGCTTGTTTATTTTCATTTATCACAATTCTATTGTTCATTTTGTTTAGATGCTTGTTTCTGAAATATTTACAACAATAAATCCAATGATCAGCCACACAAAAACGAATTTGTTAGACAATAAATATAAAAAATAACGTGTTGACCGACGAACTCTCCTATTTGGCGGGCAAGGAGGGCCGAGCCCATTTTACCACCTCTAAATGTCAACATTCTATATCATCATGTAATAGATTTTTAGATTTAAAAATAATAAATTATGCCTGATTTATATTTTAAAGTCACATATAATTGATTACCAAAAAAAAAAGTCATATGTAATTTAAAATATATATATATAGCTATAAGTGTAATTTTTCTTTGGTTTTAAGTATATATATTCAATTCTTTGATTTTACTTTCCAAAGAATTGACTCGTATTACTCCACAATTCGATATCATGACTAATTTTTTATTGTAAATGTAATAATAGCATCGGTTAAAAATAAAAACTTCTTCCGTTTGTTTTGGACAAAAACTAAAATAATCATTAAATATTTTTTAATTTTCAAAAAACATCAATAGTTCAATACTGTGTTTTATTCACTAATATTCTTTTATTTTACTTAATTAAAATATTAAAGAAAATAAAAATAATAAGTTATCCGTGATTTATATTTTAGTCATATATACTTTTTTTTTTTAAATTTAAATATAATTATAAATTTAAAAACAAAATAAATATTTTTTCCCTTGTTTAAAATATTATTTTAACCAATTTATTTGGACGTTCATAAGTAATATTATAAATTATTAAATCTACCTATATATATATATATATATTATAACGTAACATTTAATCAATAGTACATCCGAAATTTATTTCTTTTATACCTAGGTTTAAATTTTAAATATTAAATAATTTCACAACCAAATATTATTAACAGACAGGCAACACAATTTTTCATAAAGGAAAGTAGTATGAAATATGCATATAAGGCTTTGCATATTCTTCAAGTAATAACTTGTAGTTATTCATTCACGACATAGAAAATTGTGTTAATAACACTCTTACAACAAAAGAATGAAAGTTTAATTTTTTTCTTATATATTAAATTAAAATTTACATATTTATAGTGATTAAATTTTTATAATTTGTTTTTTATAGAATGATAGATATCATTTTTTATTTTTATTTAAATTAAAATTTTAAATTATTTTATATTAGTTACAAATATTTTTTAAAAAATGATTGTATTTCTGTTTGATTTTTTTAAATTGAACATATATATATTTAAAACGTTTATGTTAAAAAAATTTAAAAAAATACTTGTAAGTAAATTTTTCTCTTTTTTATTATATTTTCGAAATGAATGTTTTGGAATTGTTTTTTTAAAAAAAAAAAAAATTGTCTTCTGAAATATCTTTACAGTGGCTAATTACATTGAATTATAATAATCATGCATGTACGGAAATTTATTTTCTTTTTTATTATATTTTTGAATTGTTTAAAAAAAACACGTTGCTTCTTGGAATATTCACTTTTTTTTAAAGGACGATGATTTCAATGCTAATTATGATAGATTTCATTTTCTATTTTCTATTTAAATTTAAAATTTAATTTCTTTTGTATTAATTATAATATTTTTTAAAAATTATGTTTTTTTTCTTTTAATTTATAATTTTTATATTTTTTTAAAATGGTTGTACATATATATTTAAAACGTTTTTGTTTAATATGTTTCTAAAAAAATTCTTGTACGGTAAAGTTTTCGCTTTTTGTATATTTTTTTAAGTTAAAATTTTAATTATTTTCTTTAATTGTATAAATGTGTCATTTCTTATTATTATTTTTTATCAACTATACATATATTTTTATAATTTTAATTTTTTTTCGTCTAACGTATAATTTTATATTGAATTTAGATTTATATCTTTTTTTTCAAATGCAAAAACATTAAATGCTGAACTCTTTTACCACCTATCAAATTCAAAATTCAAAAAGATTAAATTTTACATTTTAAATAATTTTTAACCCAATAGATATAATAATAAATATTATTAACATGCAACACAATTTTCCATACAGAAAATAGTAGGAAACATGCATAAAAAGTTGGGCACATTCTTCAAGTAATAGCTTATAGTTATTCATTCACGATATAGTAAGTTGTGTTCATTACACTTTTGCATCAAAAGAATAAAATATTAATTTCTTTTTTATATATTAAATTAAAATTTTCATTTTTATAGTGATTAAATTTTTATAATTTTTTTTTTACATAATGATAGATGCCATTTTTTATTTTCATTTAAATTATTTTGTTTTAATTATACATATTTTTTATGTAATTTTTTATTTTTTAATTTATAATTTGTATATTTTTTAAAATTGGTTATACATGTATATTTAAAATATTTATGTTAAATATTTTTTTAAAAAATACTTGTACGGAAATTTTTACTCTTTTTGTATTTTTTAAGTTAAAATTTTAATATATATTCTTTTAAAGTATAAATATGTCATTTCTTATTTTTTATTTAAATTTTAAATTTAAATTATTTTTTATCAACTATACATATATTTTTATAATTTTAAATTTTTTTCATATAATCTATTTTTTATATTAAATTTAAATTTATTATATATATAAATTATTTTCCATTGTAGAAGCATTAAATGCTTAATTCTTTTCCCACCTAGCAAGTTCAAAATTTAAATTTTAAAAATTTGAATTTCAAATATTAAATATTTTTCCACCCAATAGATATAATAATAAATATTATTAATAAGTTTAACAATTATTCGTGCAGAAAGTAGAAGAAAACATGCATATATATATATATATATATATATATATATATATATATGAGAAAAATATTTCTCAAGCTGCTTGAGATATATTTATCTCTGATCTCCCTAAAACCATGTCATTTTGTTTATTTATTTTCTTATATTAGTTGTTTCACCATTGAATAGTTACGATTCCCTTTTTCTATCTTTTTCTTTATCACCATTAATCCATCTTTGTACGGTTATGATTTAGTGGTCGGAAATAAAATTACGGATATATATATCAGAAATTGATGTTTGACACGAGCTAAAAATTTTGTTTGGTTAAAAAGTGTTCACAAAGCAGAATCTAGGAAAAATTGGATTCTTATCATCACTTTTTCGGGAATCTAAAAAAAATTCTTATACCAAACATCCCATAGTGTGGAGATTAGCTATTGTTAGTAGTAACAATAGGGGTAAGAATTTTCGGGGGATAATTGTTAACTTTGATTTAAAGTGTTAGATCAAAGTGGTGTGTCTCAAGAGTAGATTAAAATCTACTTGTACTTGAATATTTTGGCTCATTAAAATTAGTGGAATTGTTTTTAAATCCCATTGGATTAAGGAATCCAAGTGAGTCGTGGTTTTTTTTACTCCTATTATGCCTGGGAGGTTTTTTTTATGCAGAAATCATTGTGTTTTTTATTTGTGATCATTTGTGCAATTTCCATTTATTTAGCAAAAAATTAGAAACATATATAAAAATTCAAAAAAAAAAGATACAATTATTTAATTCAACCCCTCTTCTTGAGTACACCATTGGGACTAATATTAGAAATTGCACTGGTCATCAATTTTGAGAATGACAACCTTGATGCCTGTGTCTACCCCAACCCTAACATTGTCATTGAAAGG